GAGAGGCTATGGATTCCTGGCTGCCCTGGGAGCCTCAGCTCCTCCCTGCCCCGGCCGACCCCCACCTCCAGCCGCCATGGAAAGCTGTTTACAACTGTCAGGGCCCAGAGGCCCACGGCTGCTGGGGTTGGGGGTGGGGGGGCTGGTCCCTGCCAAAGTCCGGCTGAACAGGGCTGACCTCCAGCCAGAACTGGGCAACAGCCCCCAGAAGCTGAGACACCGAGGGCGGGTGGGATCCGGCATCGAGTGTGGACAGTCAGGACCCTTGAACTCTTGACTCACTTCAGCCACTTCCCTGCTGGTGCCTTCGAGCAATCACTCCCCCTCCAAGTCTTTGTTTCTTTCTTTATAAAGGGGGTACACATAAGGCACCCCAGTTTGGTGGGTGAGATGGACACACAGGCATTTACCATGCTCTGGGCGGAGCCGGAGGGAGCGAGGCAATGTGGGCACTTAGCACTTGCCCTGCAGGCGTGGGAGTCTACTGCAGCCAGCTGTCAGGATGAACACAGTGACAGTGACCAGGATGACAAGGGATAAGTGCCGAGGACCTGCCCCCCCCCCACCCCAACCCGGGCTGCAGGGTTTCAGGTCAAGGAAGACCTCAAGGAGGAGGTGAGTCCAAGCTGAGACTTGAGGGAGAAGTAGGCTTTAGGCCCCATGGGGGTGAAGGAGTTGCATGTGCAAAGGTCCGGAGCAGAGAGAGAAGAGTAGATGGAGCCCCAGAGAGAAGCAGAAGCCAGACCCAGTCCGTCAAGGGCTTTGCGTTGCAGGCCAAGGAGCTAAGCCTTCTGCTGGGGCAGTAGGGCCGCTGTAGGCAGGTGAGCAGGGGCATGTGGTGTTCCAGAAAGATTACCCTGGCAGTGGGCGGGAGCAGGATTGGAGGTGGGGCACCTGGAGGCAGGGAGGCTGTGGGCAGGAGTGGGGGAGGGGGTGGAGTTGAAGAGGGGCCAGATGCAATGAAAGGTTGGTGGGAGCTGGGACCAGGCTGGTGGCTGGGTGATTTCTGGGGCTTCTCAGGAGGAGGCCCTGCCCAGAGGCCAGGGGCTGGATCACTGTCTCCAGCCCCAGGGCCAGGCTGCCTCCACCTCATCAGCACTCCCTCCACAGCCCGGGAGGCTGTCACCAGGAGCCCCAGGAAACATCCCCTCGGAGAGGCGAGGCGCGCCTGATGGATCTGTCACCACAGTGCCATCCCGCCCAGCCGGCCCCTCACACTCGCGGGGTAATCTGCTTCCACCGGGAACATTGTCCTTCAGCCTCCCCCAGCTCCCAGCTCAGAGCAGGGAGGGCGGGGCTCGCAGGACGGAGAAGCTTTCTTCCCTGAACAAATGACCTTGGGCCAGAACGGAACAGCTTGGCTAGAATTCAAACAGCCTGGGCCCCCAGCAGCCCGGGGCTCTCAGCCCCTCTTCCACTTGTATCCCAGGGAGTAAATCTGCTTTGGGGACAGTTCCAAATCAAACTAGACCCTTGGGAGCTCCTTTCTAGGTGACCCCGAGCCACTGAGAGTCTCCAGCTTCCAAGTTACACTCTGTCTCCTTCCCAAGAAACCTGCCCCCAGTGGGTTGTCTGGCCGAGAGCGGGACACATACCCAGGTTTGAGGGTCAGATACCTTTGGGTTCACATCTCAGTTTGGCTGCCTCCTGGCTGGGTGACCTTGGACAGCTTGCTCTCCGGCTCTGAGTCTTTTGGGGGCCTAATGTAAGAGGCCCTGGAGTGGGGTTACTGGAGAGGGGAACTACAAACCATCCAGCCCACCGTGGACGCCTCACAAGTGACGACCCCTTCCGGCTGATTATTTCCTCCTGCCCTGCTGGGGAGCAGGACACAGGCTCCCCTACGGTGCCTCGCCCCAAGGCGTGAACAAACCCATAGCCCGGCCCTTTCTCCATGTTCTGGCTGCTCTCACGAGGTGGTCTCATGTAGGGCACTGGGCTCGGACCCCGGAAATTGGGTTCTGATCCCACACTTGCTGCTGGCTGTGTGACATTGGGGAAGTCAGCTGCCCTCTCTGGGCCTGTGACTATTCTCCTCCTCCCTCCCACATGCACACCATCACCCTGCTGTTTAGCATTCCTCCCTTAGCTTCTAGGAGTTCTTACCCACCGCCAGGAAATGGCCTATTCTGGATCTGTCCGTGCCATCAGACTAGCAGTTTCCGGAGAGCAGTGGACATGTCCTCCGCTCCCAGCAGCCCCGGATCCTGCCCCAACACTGCCCGGCCTCAGAAAACATGCACGGAAGGAACGAGATGGAGACAGGACAGGGGTTCTTTGGCCATGTGACAGAGGAGCACGTGGGCCCCAGAGGTGGGGGAGGGCGATTTGCCCACATGGAGTGCGGGGTGGGGGGGCAGCCATCGGTTAGCAGGGGCCAGCTCAGTGACCAAGACGTCCTCGTGTAGGGCCAGGGTTTCCCGTGGGCTGCGGTGACTAGTGACGATAATAGTGGTGGGCCGGGAAAGGCGGCAGGGACCTCACCGTGGTCACGACCCCGGCTCTGGCTCCTGTCATCAGACCTGCCCAGGCAGCCACTGCCCTCCCAGCACACCCTCGGCCTCAGCAGCTTTAATGAAAATCAGACATAGATCTTTAGAGCTGCTTAGCATTTCAATACCTTCAATAATGGGTATTACCAAGTCACCCTCCTAAAACTCTGCTCTGGAGAGGTGCCGTCACCACCCACCCACCCTC